GTGAGTTGGTGGAGTCTCGTGCGATGACGACGACGACGGACCGGCATGACAACGAAGACCACGCGGACGAGCGGCCCGCAGCGACGCATGAAGGCGTTTCTTGGACGACACATCCAGCCTTGCCGCGCGGTTGTTGACGAAGAGGCCGGTGTAGTCGATGTTGAAGTCGGAGTAGAGGCGCGGGGGTCGACGACGGCGGCGGGCGACGCAAACCGATCATAGATCGGAAAACCAAAAAGAAACGTCGATCAACCGATCGGCGCGAGAGAAAAACCTCAATCAACAGATCGAGAAAAAGACTCTCTAGGGCAGCCGGTCAACACGACCGGCGGACGAACCCTAGGTACGGGCGGTGCGGTCCCCGACGACGGTCATGGAGGCCGACCGCCCCAGGGGCGGCGCGCGGGTGCGGAAGCGGCAGCGGCTAGGGTTTAGAACTCGAAAACTGATACCATGTTAGAAGGAAGAGAGAGAGTGATTGGTGGAATAGTTTGATGTATTGCTTGAGCCTCGTGGGCATATATATAGGAGTACAATAATATATATGGAGTACAAGACAAGTCAGAACAAATTCTAGTCTATCTCGTCTTTCCTAATAATCACGATACTCAACACTTTTAAACCGGAGTCTTTAGACTCCATCCATCACTAAGAAGAAAAAGCTTGCACAATTAAGTGCGAAAAAACTAGACTAAAACTAATAATACTATCATCGCCACCGAGGGAACAAACGTCCGATCACACACATGGCCGAGAAAAGCACGGCCGAGGTAACACACGACATCATCATCGTCAGCACTCCTTCTCGAACAAACGACTCTGACTTTATGTTAGCACAATCATTGGCAACGCTCTCACAATAGCGTACACATGAAGCCACAACAGGTTCAACCAAATAGTCGGCTACTCTGCCAGCATAGTAATAGTCGGCTACACTGCCAGCATAGTAATAGTCGGCTACACTGCTAGCAAAGCTGCTCTAAAAATTAAGGACGGGCTATGAAGGAGAACTATGCAGGACTGGCGCCATAGAAGAAGATCAAGTCAAACCACCCATCACATGTCATTGTTACCATAGTGACCCCGTTGTGCAACACTGAAGAGCTAACTATCGCAACGTGGCACGACCTTGATCTTGCGAATCCACATGGTAGTTGTCAGACAAGCCGCCGACAACCACCACTTTGCCATGCAAAAAACATGAAAAACCACACCAACCATTGGCCTCGCCAGTAAGTCCACCTTTAAGATGAATTCTCTGGGGGGTGCCCGACACTGAGGGTTGCCATCATCCGATTTGGGCATATCCAGACTTAGGGTTTCCCCCGAAGCATTACGCGAGGGAATTCGAGGACGACATCTCGACGTCTTCAGCAAGGAAGCGACAACCGCAAGTGCCATTGTTGTTGGCTCTGGATACAGCCGAAGTCTGTCTTTCACCATAAGCCAAAGGCGGGCTATGAAGGCGAACTATGCAGGGCTAATGCCACAGAAGATCACCAAGTCAGACGACATCCATCGCCCATCATTGTCACCATAGTGACCCCGTTTGCACAGATGACTCCATCGTAACAAACAGACCATGGCGATACCACGGACATGCCAAGAGCGAACTACGTAGACCTGGCGTGACCTTGACCTTGCGGATCCATATAGTTGTTGTCAGACGAGCCACCAATGGCCACCACGTTGGCACGCGAACAACATGATAAACCACCACCAACCATCGTTCTCGCCAGCCAAGCCCGTCATCAAGATGAATTCCCCGAGGGGTGCGCGACACCGAGAGTCGTCATCATATGATCCTGGTAGACCCAGACCTAGGGTTTCCCTTGGAGCATTCCGTCAGGGGATACGAGGACGGCATCTTGACGCTTTCAACAAGAGAGTGACACCTACATGTGTCACCATTGTTGGCTTTGGCCACAACCGAAACTTGGTTTACCCGTCGGTCTCCTGCTCCCTCCCCCAAATGAACCTCACTCCTCCACCATCGCTAACTGGACCAACATGGAAGTAGGTCACCCAAACCCATTGGTTTTGAGGCCTACCACCACCAAATTTCCACCACCAAATTTGAGCCTTAGATTCAGGGTTGTGAGGTCCCGCACCTCATGGCGAGAGAGATTGGGGCGAGTTGGAGCTACCTCACGGAGGATGGGGTAGGCCACACTGCCACCTCCCTATACCATCAAGAGTCGTATATCCACCGCCGAAGGAGGGCCGCCACACCTGACTCACCATGCCGCACCGTGGGACTCCGCGCGTTGAGATGCAACACCACTAGGGGAGGAGGGCGCAAACACAAGGCCTACACGGGCTGATGATGTTTGATGAAAAGATCGGTAGTTTTTCAGGAAAAAAACAATTTCTACATTGTGGTCGATCACGATATTGGCATAGGTCGCGCTCACATCCAACGCCGCTCGATGTGGATCCGACGGCGCGGCCCAGAAACGACGCGCGCGAAATTTCGCGCTATACACGCACCCACGAAACCTTACGCGCTGTGGCGCTAGCTCGGTTGGGTCCATCAGTCAGCGAACGGTGCGGGGTGGCTTTCTCTTCCTACCAGTTGGCTCTCTCTAGAGCGACGATTCAAAATTTCGGGAACTGCGCCGGGGAGTGAGAGGAGGGAGAGGGAGAGGTGCGCCCGGCGCCGTCCCCGTCCCCCACCCCCACCTCCACCCCACCCCACCCCCAAATCCACTCCCCTCCACCTCCGCGCCCTCACCACGCCGCCGTATCTTCGCCGGCCGGCCTGCTGCTGCTCCCCTCACGCGAGACGCCGCGCAGTCGTGGAGGGAGGCGCGACTCCGCCGCTGTCGGCTCACGGGAAGGAATCCGTCGGAAATCCGCAGGTAATCGCTGTCTCTCGGCACGCGTCTACGGGTTAGCGCCATGCGCGAGCTCGCGCAGGGGAACGACGCGTCGGCGACCTCTAATTTCTGGGGATTTTGTTCTCACACGGTCACTGCATACTGCTCTGCACGCAGCCGGATCTGGAGGTGACAAGTACGGGGGCGGGGGCGGGGGCGAGGAGCGGCAGATCTCTAATCCACGCCGGAATTTTCTGCATCAGGTTAGCGCCCCAGCTCGTCCTTCTACCTCTTATGTTCCCCGTCGTCAGCACAGACCACGCCGACTCTGATTTCGTTTTCGCATCCGGACTGTCGTGTCTCTCTCTCTCTCTCTCTCTCTCTCTCAGGTTAGTGCAACACATCCTGCACCGGAATCGTGATTCCTGTTCATTTCTCAGTTATTTCTCATTTGACAAGGGAAATGGGCGGAGGCGGATCACTGACTCGACCACATGTTTTTTCGGTGATTTTTTCAGGTTGGACAGGTGTGGATTTACAAGCTACCCTCTCGTGGGCGTCAGGTGTTTGCTGATTCGCTTCAGGTTCGGTGGATGTGTTTCCCTCGTGCTTCTACACGTCTTTGCTTGTGTGATGACGATGTACTTTCAGTTGCAACCTAGATTTATGCTAGTTATAAATTAGATTACATAGGATGTGTCTTATCTCATGGTTCTCTTGCGATAGATGATATGTTTGGTGGCTGCATAATTTCAGCTGCAACTTAGATGTATGCTGGTCATAGTTTAGATTACATAGCATATGTCTTATCTCCTGGTTTTGTTGCGACGGGATGATATATTTGGTTGCAACCTCGATGTATGCTAGTCATAGTTTAGGTTACATAGGATGTTTTTTTTTTTGCTTAGTATGTGTATGCGAGGTGTACTTTTTCTATGCTATGTTGCAAGCAGGTTACATGCTTTTTGTGTTTTGCACCCTATGCAGTAATCTTTTTGTTAGTAGATGTAGATGCAGGGGGAATGCAGCATCAGTTTTCCTGTTGTTTTTAGCACCCAGGTATAGTCCTTTGGTCTCATGGCAGGAATTTTGTGGGATGGGGTGGGGATATACTAGGGGTTGGTTGATGGGGGATGTACTAGGATGGGGACGCGCTTCTCTACATCCATGCATGTACATGTGTTCATCCATGCAGATGTAGATGCACGTGTTATCCATGGGGTTTTCTAGCATCGGCGATTTCGTCCAAGTGGAGGAACAGGAGGGGGACGGGAAAGGGGTGGGTGCATCGGCAATTTTTTCTTAATGTGTAAAATGTAGCTGCGCTTGCGGCAATTTTTTCTTAATGTGTAAAATGTAGCTGCGCTTGCTGATTTTGTTTGTGGTACGATCTTGTTTGGACGTCAGAAGCGGGGTTACATTCATGTACTGGATGTAGATGTTTTAAGGTGGTAGGATATTATCGTGAACTTTTACGGTACGAGCTTGTACACACGCCATAATAGCATGCTTTTAATCCTGGATGTAGATGTTTCAAGGTTGAAATTCGTTCTGATTTTGTTTGTGGTACGAGCTTGTTTGGATATTAGAAGCGGGATTACATTAATATATTGGGTGGGTGCCATCGACGTTTCAGTTTTTATGCCTGTCGTTCTTATGGGGTATGTACAGAGCTGTAAGAGTATGACAATATCTTTGATATAGGATCAACAACACACATTATTTTGACACCTTTTGCAGAGAAGCTTTAGAAAACTTCACTTGCTCTAATTGATTATTGACTCGCTGAAATAGAGCAAACAAACCTACTAAAAACATGTTATTTGTAGTAAGTCTTAAATTGGAAGATGATGCATTTCATAGTTAAGGATACTCTTTGTGGGGTTATACCAGAGCATGGTTTACCTGTCTTCAGCCAAGAGGGTGCATATTATGCTTGTGGGCCTGCATCAGAGCTTGGTTTTATCCTAGCCTTTGATCTTTTATTTGCCCTTTCTGTATGACTTGGAAGTTGGAACTCAGTAAAAAAGATGGCTGTGTGCATCAAACAATGCAGAGGCCGGTGGGTTGCCCTCCTTTAAAAAAAAACTGATCATGGTTTAGTTGTTTACTGCCACACGAATCCCAAGTTCTCTAATACAGCAAATGTTATACCTGCAGGCTACCAAAAAAAGAAGAAAGATGTCTAATAATCAGAAGTATGGTGTCCGTTTGCTCCAAAGAACCTTGGATCTGCAGAGATTTCCTATGGGAAGTGCACCATTGTGTATACCTGTCAATACTGGTCCTCCTATTGTTCATAGACCTACTCAAGTTGCTTTTGTGGGAACCCCATCAGGAATAAGTGACGTGCCAAATAAGGTAACATCACCTTTCCCAGGAAAGCAGGTGAGGAAGGCAAATGCAGTCATGCCTGAAGAGACTGCATCAAGTGTCTATTCTGATGGTAGGCATGCTCCAAAGAATGAACACTTGAGGATTTCTGGACCTTTGGGGCAGTGTGATGAATCTGATTGCAATGATTGCCCTCCTGCCTCTAAGAACAAAATGCATTTCCATAGAAGTTCAGCTCCTTTCGGTAATGAGGTGATATTTTCAATCTTGATCAGTAATATTTCTATCTGCTTGGACATTCCTTTACCTTGTATCCTTGATGATCTGGATAGGGATAAGCGGGAGCTCCTTTTGTTTTTAGATGAGATTAGGGCATCTAGCCTCAGTTGACTTGTTTGTATTCTATAAACTTTCTGCTGAAGGAAACTTACAATGACAGAAGGTATATGTATACACTTGCAGCACACAAATTTCCTTTGAGTTCATTAGCTATAGGTGGTGTATTTTTAGTTTTTAAGTACACAAACCTGTGAACCATAAATAATTGGAGGTAAATATTTTGTAAACCTGACATCTTCTACATATTCATGGGGAATGGGCTATATATTTGTTGCAATTATTTCTTCCTTAAAATTTGTCCATGCAGTTTTGTATCTTCAATTTATTTATGACTATGGCTTTAACATGTATATACTATATAGTAAAATGGTTATGTACTCCTGGTTGTATGTACTCCCACTCACCATATTTTTGTGTATGGCCAGGGTGGTGGGTGGAAGAAGAAGATTGGGTCTTCCCTTCCAAACATTCCAATTATAAACCCACATGCTAAGGCTGTTCGTCGATGGAACCAGTTTTTTGTGATATCATGCTTGATTGCCATTTTCATTGATCCTCTGTTTTTCTTCCTAGCTTCCATGGACAAGGTAAGTTTACATCCTTTTTCTCCAAGCTCGGAGCTCTGTTAACATCTGCAGTAGATCTAGGGCATCCACATTGTTTAGAGGCCACTTAGCCTCTAAGTTGGGTCCCAAAAGATGGCCTCTTAAGTTTTTACGGGAATTTGCTGCAATTTTTAGATGATATTTTCCTCAAAGATGGATCCCATATTTGACTTAAATAAAACGAAAGCTAAACCATATCCTACTGGCAGGTGGGCACTTGTAACCATTTTTGTAGTTCATGGATGGCTGGAAAACAGCCTCCATGCTTGGAAGTGACTAGCAAATTTTGCATGGTGTCCATGTTTTGAGCGTTTGGCAGCACCTAGGCAGTCTTTCCTCAGAGGCTGCATTTTCACAACATGCGATGTCATGGCATCCATTTGTATTTGCTTCTATGATCATGTGACCAATGCAATTTGGGCTTGTGAGCTAGTGCCAGACCTACAACCAAAAGAGTTCATGTCAACTTTACAAATTCTTGAAGTGCTCGATATATGAACAATGCAGTTTTAAATCTTTTTGTCTATTTGACAGCCTGAAACTTATTCCCCTTTTGTCTCTTCTCACTGTAAGACATAAAGTTACATCATCTTATTTGATGGGCCCTGTATTTATTGGATCTCTGGTCAAATTACTGTGTGTACATCAAGATTGGTACTTTCTGAATTCTGAACAATATAGCCTTGACCGAAATTACCTATAAGTGTGCATGTTTATTTTTTACGGTGCAGGATAACAAATGCATAATGTTCAGTCGGCATTCGACAGCATTAACTGTGGCAAGAAGTGTGACAGATGCAGTTTATCTTCTTCACTTGCTTCTTCAGGTGAATACTGTCACATAATTCGTTCTATTTGTAATCTTCCTTGCCTATGAAATGACTATCCAACTCTCCTGCATTTTAAGAAAAAAAGGGTTTTCATAAATAGGTGGCAACCAATGGAAATAGTCACCTTTTGTAAGTTTGAAATGTCTGTTGAGTGTTCCATAGGCTTTTTTATTATTATGAATTATAAGTATTGCCACTTATAAAAACGAAAACTCCCACTGACAGATTGAACCAGCTTCAGAGCAGTATTTTGGTTTTAAAATCTGGTACAATATGGTGAAAGTCTCAAATCTGGTTCAACCTGTCATTTGTATGAAATGCATGGTCAAATGCAGGATCCACATTGGAATTTACTCTTCACTCATTAGCTACTATTAAATTTTGCATATTTTTAAAGTTATTCTTGTAAGTATAACTTTGGAATTCCCTTCTATTATGCTTGATATGAACTTACTTTCCTTGAGACAACACGACAATTCCCTTCTACTATGTAACCAGAATTCTCGCGAGGGGTCATCCTTTTCTGTAAACTGTTCATATTTGCAGAGTTTGTTTAAAGTTGCTTCACTTCCTTGTAAATTGTGTCTGCAAAGTTACAATCAGTGCATCATGACATAAAGGTTCTTCCATGTTTAGCGACTATTTAGTTTGTTGCAACACTTGTCGCAAAATTTGTAGAGAAAAAATGTTAGCGAGTCAAACATTGATTGAATGAAAGTTGGCTAGCTTGAGTGTGATCAAGGCAAAACAGCCTGTTATTATACCAGCGAAACATGGCCTCAGAAAAGAGGCGGTTCTCCTCTCTGTTATCTCGATATATTTCGATGTAGACAAAAGTCAAAAACAGAGAAGTTTGATGGACATGCTTAAGCAAATGTCCAGTTGGGGTTTGCTCTATCTCTTTTCAGTTCTAAAGCAATTCTTTCATTAGCATCTGCTGCTTCTTTTTTGCCTTTCTGTTGTTTGTTCGGTAGTAGCTGTAGCTTTAGTCTGCAGCATACACACTCATTCCGTTTGAGCTTGCTTTGACTCAAGAGGTGCCATTCATCATGGTGATTTGCATTTATGTTGCTTAATGCTTACGGGTGAAGCTTCAATAATATTTTACACGGGATTAATTTACCAAATTTGTGCTACAAAAACCTAAAATGCACCTGTCAACTCAATCTTTATTTGTGTATAACTAGCAACCTTTGATACTTAATTCTGTTATTCCCATTTAGAAGGAGGGGTCAGGGCCCATCCTGGATTTCTAAGCTATGCTTTGTCATAGCAAATTTCTTTTTTTCAGAACTTTGAGTATTTTTTGTTCGTTCTAAGGACTCAAGAATAGGGATCAACATGCATGAGATGTTTTTTTTTTGCAGTTTAGGATGGCCTATGTGGATCCGGAGTCAAGAATAGTGGGGACAGGAGACTTAGTTGATGAGCCTAAGAAAATTTCTATGCACTATCTTCGTGGTGCTTTCATAGTCGACTTATCTGTTATGCTTCCACTTACTCAGGTACTATGTGTTTTGTTTGCTTGAATATAAGTTGCTTATATTAGAAGTGAGTAACTTGCCTTTTTTAAATTATGTGACCAATGCTTAATTTTGCTTACAAAAATCACTGTCCATGTTTTCCTCGGAAACACTTGTTTCTTCAAGTTCTTAACATTCTTTGTTTCTAATGGAGGGCCAGTAACTTAGTATTAGGGTAAGAGCCTCAGTTTGTAGTCTAATAAGAGTCTGGTACAATCCTAAGCACTATAACCCTATAAATAACAACGAGAATGCACATTAGAGTTGTTAGTATGTTGTTCCGTATGATCTGTGGTCGTTAAGAGTTTATGTGGCTTGATGCGGGAGGTTCAGGGCATGGTAGATAGGCCCTGTAATGAGGGGGGGGGGGTTGCTGGTGATATTGAAATCAGTATGAACGCTGGTGTTTGCGGTAATAGGCTTGGAGGTGCCAGTGGTGGTAAGCTCAATGGTGATCATGGTGGCTATGGAGAGGTCTTTGTGGTGGTCCTGGAGATGAAACTATTAGAGAGGTCTAGGAGGGTGATTGAACTTGGGAGAGGTAGCCATGCAATGGAGGTGGAGACCAGACTAGTGGTTGTGTTGGTAAGAGTTGGAGCATTGTATTCTGATAGAGGCTAGGGTGGAGGTGGTGATCATAGTGGGTACAGTGGTCTGTCATGAATTCGTGATATTGGTATGTGAGTATACAGTATAGCAATCTCCTATTTTACTAAAGTCATTGGCAGCTGAAGCAAGCCTCGAGTGGAGGCCTTGGTGGTATTGGCTGTGCCTTTGATTGTTGGTTAGGTGACTTCAGTCAAGGAAGAGTCTTATCTGCAAAAAAAAAGGAAGAGTCTTAGTGAGTCTATTGCAATATGTTTGAAGATGGGCATGATTGCATCAGGCCCATATTGAGGGGAGTGTTGGATTGTTAAGAGTATGTAATAGAGTCAGTTGCAATCCTTAACACTATATATAAAGGGAATGTAGTCTCGGGGGACAAAACATCCTTTCAGCTATTCATGCTGTATTTCAATTTTCCTCTTACAATTTCCTCGGAAGCTCTTTCAGTCATTAGCTGTTCATGCTAGTCTCAACAACCATATTCTAGTTCTAGAGCCTGTTTTTCATGAGTAAATAAGAATATTCTGCTGGTTGGCGTCGCAAAGTATTCAGAGGCTTCTACACTACAATCTGAGAGTTTGAGGAACTCGTATACAATTAGCATTGCAGATATAACTCAGTTTTTCTAACGTTGTTGTGTTAGATATTGTACTAGTTGTGTGTTTGGTCTGTTATACAGTGACTGCTTTGCTTATTTCCCTACACTTCTACATGAACATGCACTGTGAACATGTGTTGCCTTTGGCTCATTGGAACAGAGTAAGATCTACTCCAACAAGCTGGTTCATACATACGTGTTTCCATAACTGGTCTGGTTGGAGTTACAAAAAGCCACAATATTTTACAATGTCATAAATTAATATGTCATTGGGAATATGTTACCAACATTTGACACTTGTTTCTCCCTCAGGTGATGATATGTCTAGTTATCCCTAAGTCCATTGGGGTATCTGGTGCAAACTATGCGAAGAATCTGTTACGTGCCACAATTCCTGTTCAGTATGCCCTACGCATCTTCAAATTTGTGCAATTACTTGGTGGGCAATCTGCTAATGGATTCATTTTTGAATCAGCATGGGCTAATTTTGTGATCAATCTTTTGGTATTTGTTTTGGCTGGGCATGTGGTTGGTTCACTTTGGTACCTCTTTGGGCTACAGGTCAGTCTCTTATCACATAACATGTCATTTTTTTCATGTGTGCTTCAAATCCAACATACAAAGTGCATCCTTATTTTTGAAGACGCAGATTACCCAACTGTAATAAAATAAAATGGTGCAGGGTGTGGTGTTCAAGGTATACTAACGAAAGTTTTTGTTGTAGTATAAAAAAGAGAGCCATGATCTTTTACTGTTCATATGCACTTAGACTGTCAACTCATATTTGATCTGATATCAGGGATACCTTTGAATTTCTGTACTCGATTATGTTCTTCAATTTAGGGGTTTATTTCTTCACTATGGAAAGTGTTGCAATCCAATTGCTTCTTTAGTTTTTTATCATTAGTAGTTTGATTCCCCAATCCTCTTAAGTATTGATAGCATGTCTCCTTCCACATTTTATGCAGAGTGTTAATCAATGTCTATGGAATTCTTGTTCTGCGCTTAATATAACATCATGTGCTCAGTTTATAGACTGTGGGTATGGCATTGGTGGGCAGGACAGAGTAAAGAGGCAGCCATGGTTAAACGACTCGATGTCGCGAACCTGTTTTGATACTGCAAATGGTTTTTTCAAATATGGAATCTATGAACAATCTGTGTTGCTAACCACAGAACTTGCTGTTAACCGCTATGTATATTCGTTATTTTGGGGGTTCCAGCAAATAAGTACTTTGGCGGGTAATCTGGTCCCAACCTATAATGTATGGGAAGTTCTATTCACAAAGGGTATCATTGCCTTGGGGCTATTGCTTTTTGCGTTACTTATCGGTAACATGCAGATTTTTCTGCAATCACTTGGAAAAAGGTAAGTCGTTGTACAACTACTTTATCCTTCTTATGGACTGGTTTTGTTGCCAACTGGAAAATAATTCATAGGACTATTTTATTACTCACAGGAGACTGGAAATGCAACTGAGGAGGCATGATGTTGAACAATGGATGAGCCACAGGCAACTCCCAGAAGATTTGAGAAGGAGGGTTAGACATGCAGAAAGGTTTAGTTGGGTGGCTATGCGAGGTGTGAACGAAGAAGAGCTTTTGAGCAGCTTACCAGAAGATATTCAGATAGATATACGCCACCACTTTCATAGATTTCTTAACAAGGTTTGACATAATCATTTTTTACAACCACTTGACTTCCTCCCGGATCTATAGTCAAATGAACTTTTCTCTGGAAAAATGACTCTTGCTTATCATATATAAATGGGAATTTTTTTTGGACAAGGTGGTGGAAGCTCCCGCTCTAATTCAGTTTGAGTAGCAGTATGACAGGATATGACATCTTTTGAAAGCACCTTTTGCATTGATGTTCCTGCCGCTCCACTAGCCTCGGGTCTTTTTTTCCTTTGTCTACCAGCAGACCTTTCTAGCTTTTGAGGATCATTTCACACCCAGGGTCAAATTTTGGCCATTGAGTCTTGTCACCCATTGGAGTAACTCCAAACTGATAATCTACTGAATTGTAATCGTCTACAAAGTTCTCAATGTTAAGTTGTCTAACTTTTCCAAATAGAGCTATAGCATGAGTGCATGGTTTTCCAGAAAGCTGCCAATGTCCACACCACAATTTGTACCAACCACAACCCTCCAATTCTTCCCTTTTGTTATTCCTGAAATCTCAGCTGACATTGCACCACTCTTCTGGATTTCGTAGTGCAGCCCTGGGCTCTTCATGTTCAACTCATATAACACACTTGGCAGGATAAGCCCTTCCATTCTATTGGCTATCTCTTGCCTTGTGTAAATCTTCTCCATGATCTTCTTCCTTATCTTATCCATCTGATCAACAACCGGAAGGTCTTTGTAATCTTTAATCCAACTGTTGAAGCATTATGAGATGTTGTTATCCACATAATTAGTCTTGCGCACACTTTGGAGAATCTTCTCCATAATTGCCTTAGGACTAGCTATTGCAATTTTCGCCATTAGTGTATCATACCTATGTTCTGTACATGCCCATGCGCAAGGCCACATATACTTCAGCACATCACCCCTAAATATGTTTCTGGAATTAGCTATGAGATGCCTGAAACACCCACGGTGTTTTTTTTTTTCCGAGTAATACGGGTGCGTGTTTGTCTGCCTGAGCCTGGTTCGTGTTGAGTTGTTTTGGCACAAGGGCAAAATCCGAAATCAGAAAATAGTTAACCGATTAGAAAAAGAGAAGTAGCAACGAGAGTAATAGAAACAAACAGAATGGTAGATGGCTATAATGTTGCGATCTTTTGATGGTATATATCTAATGATAGGTTCTTTTGATTGTACAAAACCAAATTTCCCTATATTAATTGTGAGAACCATGCGCTGTTTATTTGTAGATTCAGTTATTCGCTTTGAAGGATTCTGGACTTTACGAGGCTGTCTGTGACAAGTTGAAGCATAAGTTATATGTTAGGGGAAGTGACATTCTTTCTCAGGATCAGCTTGTTGAAAAAATCATCTTTGTAGTGCGCGGTAGAGTCGAAAGCATCAATGTAGATGGAAGCAAATCTCCATTACATGAAGGAGCTGTGTGTGGGGAAGAGCTGCTTACGTGGTGGTTGGAGCAGCAAGCTTCAGGTTTGCAGATATTTACCTTAGTTTATTGCTTTGTATTTGTTTTTTTTAGTTCGACGAATCTTTTGTTATATTCTTCTCTATATTACATCATCCAAACTTCTATCAGATGGGGAGAGGATGAAGGTGCACTGGAAGGCAATACGTACCATCAGATGCGTAACAAATGTAGAAGCTTTTGTGCTGCAGTCCACTGATTTGGAAAAAGTGACTCTAGAGTTCTCAACACTATTGCAAAATCCTAGTGTTATTGCAGCAATCAGGTATCGTCATTAAGTTTCTGATTGGCTGAAGTATGTACACATGAAGTTTTCAGTTGATGAATGCAAGGCCCCATCTTAGTTTGTCCACTGATGCTTGGATCATGTTGAACAGGTACGAATCACTGTCCTGGAGGACCGCTGCGGCAATCCATATCCAGGACACGTGGAGGCACCATCAAAGGCGAAAGAAGGCAGCTGCACTGTTGCAAGGTTAGTGATACTAGATTCAGCATAATTTAATGTCATTGGTGGCTATTTGGATATGCTAGAGCTTGAGCCACTGGGAACCAAATCACCATACTATTTTAGGAAACAGTGTAACAGCACAAGTCATGGCTTTAACTAGTTTGTCGGGCATGACCATATACTAATGGAGGTAAGATTCGAAAGGAGGACTGGCATGCTCCTTACTGGTTGGTATCATGTATCTTCAGAACCCAGAGGAGCGTTCTGTGCTTTCTACTTAAGAGTTGTAGAACATTGCAACTCCAATGCTAAATTGCTGATATCGTTTCTGTTATGCACTGGATTCCTGTTACGAGGATTCCCTACCTGTTACATGCTCTCTTTGCATGGATGTTGAAGTTCTCGTTGTCACGGGAAACTTGCACACTGTTTGTTGGTTTGTCAAGGGGCAAATGTTTCATGGAGGGTTGATGAATGATGATTAAACGAGAATTTCCTTCTTAAAACTCCACCAGACGAACTGAAAGTTCTATAGTTTGTTGGATATTGAGAAGCCTTGAACCGAATATGTAAGTAGCAGCCATAAATGTATTTGTGGTGTGCTTCCCTCACATTTGAATGGCTTTTCTTACAACCGAATATCATTTGGACAAATGCCTTGTTCTCCTCTTGTTGCTGTGTCTGAACTTTAGTTGACAGAAGTCATGCTTTGACTAGCTGCATTTGCTTATTCACAGTTGTCCCTTGTGAGAATCATGTGCGGAAACTTTCTGTCCCTTATATGAGAATCATGTGCGGAATGTTCTGTATATGTACAGTTCTTTCTTTCTGTTGGAATGTGCATGCACATTTCTAATTATAACCCTGCAGGATTCATTTAGGAGGCTGTTTGTCACAACTTTCCTCTTAGGTCTTTTGATACTCCCTCCATCCCAAAATAAGTGTCTGAGCCTTAGTGCAATTTTGTACTAAGCTTAGTACAAAGTTAAGACACTTTTTGGGACGGAGGGAGTATGCCATTAAACATTTGTACTTGATTCACAAAAAGTCTCAGTAACTTTACGTGATGCTGAATATTTTTCAGGTGATCTGTAGCATGTCCATATGCAGTGTATTCGTTTACATGTACTTATATCGCATTGCCTTACCTCATATTTATTGACTTTGGTATATTTTATTTCATTGGCCTTTCTTTGTAGGCTCTGCCGTGCTATCTGATTTCTTAACTTGATTTTCTGTTCTTATTTTTGGTCCAGGAATGTAGCTCCAACTAATTGTCCCCTGACCACACCATCATTTTCATTTGACATACCAGATGTTGAAGATCTTTTTGCTTCCCCATCTCTCCTTACAGAGGTTTTGCTGCTATGCTGGGAAGTTTCACAAGGAAAAGAGAATCAAATGTATCTGCAATCCAAGATCCACATGTAAATTTCCAGGGGCCCTGTCAGCACAATCTCGTGGTGCCAGGAATGCTGCTGCTTAAAACGTTGTAGTGACCTACAATACTCGTTGAGCTGCTTTTGCTGAAAATACTTTTTTTCAAAGAAGTGATGTGAGTGAACTAACATGAGTGTTTTGCCAACTGTGTTGAGAAAATTCTTCCACGTTGTGTATCAGCATTTGATGTCCCTGAATAGTGTTTGACCTTTTGGCTTTGACAGGAGTAACGTTGTTAGATGTGTGCAAACTGTTGACAGATGATGTTGTTGGCTCTCGTGGACAAGGATCGTCGTAACTCTTTTGATATGGAATGCTCTCTTTTTCTGACATTTGTTTGGTGCCTATTTCTTTGGTGTTCGCCTGCTTTTTGGTTGCGACGGTGGTATATGCTCTGTTAACTCTGTTGGGAGTTAGAACCAGTAGATAACGTCCACTCTACAAGGAGAGCCTAGATATGCCATTTGTCTTCTGGTTAATAGTGAATGGGTGGATTTTCACTCTACAAGGAGAGGCTAGATATGTCATTTGTCTTTTGGTTAATAGTGAATGGGTGGATTATGGAGGGAGTGCGGCTTTCGTTTGGAAATTGCAGGTTTCAATATGTAAAGGAAACCACGAAGCCCCAAATCTTTCAAACATATTGCAAAGACACGTATGGATTTTAGAACAGCCTAGGTAGATCTTGCAGAATATATCTATGACTGCAGGGACAGAATTGTAGCTGGCAATTCTAGAGCAAGGATTGATGGCTTTCCTGGTGAAAACCATGATGCTGCTGAGCACCCTCTTGATCGTCAACAGTTGAAAATGTGAAGAGTGAAGTCTGTTTTAAACCACTAAGGCCCTGCATGTCAGTGAGAGGAGGCAGGCAGCGGACCCGCTTGTCAGAGGAGCTACGCCATGCCTCCGTGGCTTTTGTGAATGCCAAGCCAGTGTCCTGCTATAAAACAAGCCCAGTGCCACCATTGCTGCGAGCACGAAAAGCTTTCTCCTCTCGGGGTTGGTTGGTTCTAGCGTAGCCTCTGTCCTCTCACCTTGCATAGCGCAGGTGTGCTCTCGCATGAAATGTATCTGAGTTCCCAAGGGCAAACACCAGTGTGCTCCCACTGACAGCGACAACACAAGTGTGCTTTTTGTGACGGAGCACAATCAAACCATAAGGCCTCATTTGGTTGTAAAGTGAAAATATTCCGGGGTAGTAATCCCACGAGGGGGACTTTCCATGGTCATAGGAAATCCTCTCCTGCCACCGGGGGAGATCCCCACGTGAGTTTGGAGGGGAGGGAATCACGTCAGGGAAGTGCCAAATTTCTTAGAAAAGTAATGTAGTATTCAAAAACCATGAAAACTAATTCCCTTTTTTTTCTCACAGAATCATCACAGCAGTACCGAAGTAAGTAAATTTCTAATTTGCATGCAAAATTCAGAAATGACAGAACAATGGAGAATAATTCTATAATTTCAAGGATAAACCAGGAAATATGAAACACACATAATCAGTAAAAAACACTTCAGTCCACATCACACACGCGGACCATAAATAACACAACACCGAGGATAAATTCTGGTGTGCTAATCATTGTTTAACATTTTTTTAGACAAAAGGCATCAGCCGAGCCCGAGATGGGGCTCAAGCCTAGCCCGACTTTGAATTAACAAAGCCATCAACTGGCAGAATACAAGCAAACGCCCTCATGCAAAAGAAAGAACAACACGGCGGTAAGATACATAAAGATGGACAACACCAAACTACTCCTCACACGCTATGGAAACTGAAGATAATCAAAAGAGAACGAAGCCGAAGACACCGAGGACCGTCTCCAAGAATGCTGCACCAAGAACAATATCACACTGGCTCGGAGGAGAGAGGGGTCGACACCAGCAGGGCATATGCTGTAACCATGCACCTACAGGCCCCGGCACGGCACATCCGGTACACCATCTTCGAAGAAGGCCACTACCTCCTTGCCCGGATCGAAGGCGACGCACCGTCGCAAGATGAGATGGATGCCGCCAGAAGATGGCCACATAGAGAAGGTCAGCGCACCCCCAACGAGACCCGGAGGCTCTCTTTGAGCAGAACATCGCCGCTGCACACATCCAACACCGGAGGGGGAAGTTTCACGTTAGGACAAGAGGGCCACACCGTCGCCGCCGCCCACCAGCCACATGCGCAAGCACCACAAGGCTCACAAAGTGGAGCCTTCAAGAACACATCAGAGTTAGGGCTAATTATATATGTGAGCCCTAACTTTGTGAGCCTTGTGGTGCTTGCGCATTATACCCGAGAAAAGAACACATCAGATGTTGCACATTATTCAGTTTCGTCATCAGTCGAAAATTAAGACTCCAGGAATGCAGGCTTGCATAAAACAAATAGACACAAGAAAGTATATAGGGGTACACAAACACACAATCTTGATATTGTACAGAAATGGGTAGTAGGATTCAGACATAGTGTGAATGTGATAAAGTATGTAATGGGTGAAGAAACAGAACCATCTTGTAGATTTTATTTTGTCTGGTGGTTTATCTTGAACGAGAAAGTATAAATCCTAGAAGAAAATATATAAATATTAGCAATGAGAAATTGATCCATCAGAGCAAAAAGATGCTTACTCTAGTTTCAGTTTATCCACTGTAAAGAATGCACTGTTGCATCATCATCAGTCTAATGGAGGAGGGTCTAGTGTGTCTGCCTGCTTCTAGCATACAAGTTTACACGATGATGAGCACCTGCTAGATGTATTTCAGAACGAGAGGTAAAAATACTGATGCCAGCTATGCTCTACAACAAGTGCGGAGCAACTACACAAGAAAAATACAAGCTCCTATGGAATTGGTGGT